TACAACTAAAAGGGAATGAGACTGAATGTTCAATGGAAGGAACTTTGTTTAGACATTCAGGGAGTAGTTCAACCTACCAGGAGAATAAAATCTAGTTTGCAGAGGGACAAAGTAGATTCTTTCACCATGTCTGTGGAAGTGTTATAGGCACCAGAAACACCAAAAAAGGTATCAGACAGCCCCCTGAGTTGAAGGGAGAGGGCTGTCCCCTCCTCGGTTCATGTCTGTCTCGTAGGAAGGAATTCAAAGAGTGACCCTAGCTGATTGCGTTGTAGTAAAGCAAATTTACTAAATTTATTAAAGAAGCAAGGCAAGCAAATCTATCATACTTCTGGCTTATGAAAGCACAGACGGACTTCCCAGCTAGTCTGAGAAGTGAGCCTGGTGGAGATTTAAGGGGTTATACTCCCTTCTGTCTATAGGTTTTTAAATTTCTCTGTTGAATATCTTGGTACAGATTAAGATCTCTTTTTACTTTTTTATGGCTTTCCCAGAATTTATGAGAAGAATTTGGCAATTTTATTTTTTAACAAGCCCCAAGACTGCTGGCTTCTCGGTTTAAACAATGTGATGAACACTCCCTCTTCTCTCCTCCTTCCCCAAAACGACTGACTTCTTTGAGATAAATCTCTCCCTTCTTTCTTTCCCCCTGCCCCCTCCTGCCTTAGCAGTTCCAGGGTGATTTACACTGTGTATTCTGTGGTTAGGGAGAAGAGGCATTAAAACTCCCCCTTCTTTCCTGCATTCTTTGGTTAGGGAGGAGAGGCATTAGTCATTTGTTCTCAAGCATCCTTGGTTGGAAAAGATGAGATCTTGGTCTTGTTTAATTTTCTTGTCTCAGTTTCCCTATTCCTTTTGCCCTGGAATTTTCCTAGCTTCTCATTATCCTGTAATAGAAGGAGTTACAGGACCCAGTTTGCAGTAGACTGCATCAATCCTGGGGTTCAGTGATTTGGTGAACATTAAATAAACATGAACAAATGTATTTGTCCAGGATCGGAGTAAATTTTGAAAAGAGGACCCAAGATGGATCTATAATGGTTTGAGCACCTGTCAGTGAAGCCTGTCAACCATCTATGTATTCTATGTAGGCTCTTTGGATAAAAGGTTAAACAAAACTTGTAATAAAATTGCAGGTGAATTCAGTACAAGAAATACATAAAACAATGTATTATTAACAGAGCTGAAAAGTAAAAGGAATTCCTAGGCACAGAGTGAAAGCAGATACCAGGATAACAACTGTGTAGCAGACATGGTGATCAAACAGGCCAGGTGAGAAGTCAGAAAACTCTGAAAAGAGGCCACTTCTGAGAAATAAAAATGACACAATATTTGAAGGGTTTAAAAGTACCAACTAGAGGTTTCGACAACTGGTAACAAGTTTGAGTTAGTGATAAGAACTTGGAAAACCAAACAGAAAAATCAAGATAATTCAGCACTGAAGGAACATGAGTTGTGCAAGAAAAGAATAGTTATTCTCAAACAGGGGTTAGCAAAATATGGCCCCCAAATCCACCTGTTGCCTGTTTTGTACAGCCTTCAGGCTAAGAACAGCTTTTACCTGGTTGAATAAGTCAAAAGAAAAACATTTCATAATACATGAACTTCCAATTTCATGTTTATAAAGTTTTTTTTGGAACCCTGCCACCTCATTCTTTTGTGTAACGGTAGAGTTGCATAGTTGCAATAAAACAGTCTGGCCCAGAAAGCCTAAAGTATTTACTGTCCCCTATAGAAAATTTTGCTAACTCAAAAAAATGGTTATTTTTCTCTTTACATGGTCATTATTGAAAACTCAGAAATATGGATAAGCAAAGCGAACATAAATAACCATAATCTCATATAATCTCACTATCCCAAGATAACCATAATTAATAGTTTGGTATATATGCTTCCAGGCATTTTTTTTCTGTGCGTGTGTGTGTGTTTGTGTGTGTGTGTGTAAAATGCACTATACTCTGGTTTTAGAAAATACTCATTAACATGTTAACATGCTATTTTTCTTCAATATTACTTAAGATTACTGCATGTTATTCCCTTATATGGCTGTGCCATTCTATTTTTAAGACATTGTGGACAATTTACTGTAGTTTCTAGTTTTCTCCTATTATAAACTTTGCTTTAATAACCTTACTTATTGGTAAATCTCTGTAAACATCCATATTTTTCCTTAGGGTTAGCTATACATGTAGAAATATCAGGTCAAATAGAGTGTACATTTTAATATCTTTCATTTTTACTTATTTTATTGATTTTTAGAGAGACAGAGAGATATTGATTTTTGTTGTTCCACTTATTTATGTATTTATTGGTTGATTTTTTTTGTATGTGCTCTGATTGGGGATCAAACCTGCAACCATGATGTATTGGGATCTCTAACCAGTTGAGCTACCCAGGAGAATAAAATCTAGTTTGCTGAGTCCTGACCGGGAATCGAACCATGACCTCCTGGTTCATAAGTTGATGCTCAACCACTGAGCCACCGCAGCTGGGCTAATATTAGCTTTTAACTATTTTCCTCCCAGTCAGCTGTCAAATTCTGTAGGTTCTGTATTTACAATTTTACATCTGATTCTTCCTTTCTAATTTCAGTGTCATATTCTCCCGTCTTCCTTCTTCCTCCATTTTCCTCTCACTACCTGGATGGCTTAGTCTGTTCAGACTACTAAGACAAAGTATGACAGACTGAGTGGCACATAAAGAACAGAAATTTATTTCTCACAGTTCTGGAGGCTGGGAGTCTAAGAGCAGAGTGCAGCATGGTTGAAGCCCTCCTACAGGATGCAGATTTACTAACTTGTCAGTGTCCTCAAAAGGGGGATGTGACAGGGATCTCCCTAGGGCAGGGGTGGGCAAACTTTTTGACTCGAGGGCCACAATGGGTTCTTAAACTGGACCGGAGGGCCGGAACAAAAGCATGGATGGAGTGTTTGTGTGAACTAATATAAATTCAAAGTAAACATCGTTACATAAAAGGGTACGGTCTTTTTTTTTTAAGTTTTATTCATAGGGTCTTTTTTTATTATAAGGGCACTAATCCTATTCATGAGGACTGGATCAAAGGCCCACCTCTAAATATTATCACATTAGGAGTTAGGATTTCCACATATGAATTTTGTGGGGACACATTCTGACCATAGCACTGGATTATTCCAATATCCTTCTAACAAGATTCTCTGTTACAACTCTCCCCTGTCCAGTCGGTTTCCAATGCTATTGCCAGATCTATCTTCACTCTGGGCATTTATAAAGGCCTTCCACAATGTGGCTGAAACCAAGGGTCTGGTCTCATTACTGTTATTCTTCTAGATAAAACCTAGGTCCAGCCAAATAAAATACTTACTGTCTCCTCAATATGCATTTTCTCACCTTAATACTTTAGTTCATGTTGTTAGGTCCTGGTGGAAAATGCTTCTCCTCATCCCCACCTCCCCACCCCCCAATCTCTGTCACTCAGAAATACTATCCATTCTTTTTCTGTTGTTGTTAATCCTCATCTGAGAATATCTTTTTCCATTGATTTTTAGAGAGAGTAGAAAGGAGGGAGGGAGGGAAAGAGAGAAAGGGAAACATCGACGTGAGAGAGATACAACTGGTTGCCTCCTGCACACCCCCTATTGGGAATTGAGCTTGCAACCCAAGCATATGCCCTGACAGGAATTGAACCAATGACCTCTTGGTTCCTGGGACGATGCTCACCAGTCCGGCAGCACATGAACATTCTTAAGCCCTTCAAAGGTTTGTGGAATTTGGGTATTTCCAGGCATTGCTGCACAACTGAAAGATGCCAAAGGTTAAGTTCCCAGGCTACTTAAAGCAAGAAGAGAATTGCTTCCTTTGCCTTAGCCTACTTGATTTTTATAATTTAGCAGCTTGACATAGCGACTCCATTTTATTTCTTCACTCTTTTCCTCAGCCTGAATCTAATTCTTCGTGCCTGGCTCATTGTAAGTATTTAAAGTGTATTAAATGAACGGTATACACTCCATTGGAATACTATGTAACTAAATGCATGTGAAATCAGGTTTAAGAGAAAAAAATGTTCACAAAACATTGGTATTACATCTAAAAAAACCCACATATGGAAGCAGGTTGTTAATAATCAGAAGGGGCCAGAGAAAGTCAACTGTCACATGTGTACTGCAATTTATTATTATTATTTGTGTGTGTGTGTGTGTGTGTACTGCAATTTAAAAGGTGTCCTCGTGCATACTTTGATTCTCACAACCCTGTGAAATACGCTCCGGGAGGTATTATTAAGCTGTTTTATTGGTAAGGAAGCTGACTCACCAGAGGTCAGAAATGACTAAGGCGGGGCCAGAATTCTAGCCCCGCCTCCCGGAACCGGCTCCTTCCCGGACACCCCTCGGCAGCCCCGAATGGCGCTGGGGGTCTCTCGGTTTGCTTGTCTTCGCCCCCGTTACTTTAGCAAACAAAACCCAGAGCTGCAGGCGGCCGCGAGGGGCCGGTGCCCGGG